CCCTCACAATGAGGTGGGGCCCGATGTGAATTAAATAATCCGTGGCCCCCCCCTTGTGAGGGGGGAGTGTGGGGTCGGATAATGTAAATGGTAAGGGGAAAGGTACCTCTAGCATGATTATAGTAATTTTCCTGTGCCCCGCTCACCGCAAAATGCTCACCTACGTGTAAATAGAAATGGCAGCGAGACAGGACGGCGCTGGAGTTCTTCAAGAGGCAATGAAGGGTGGAGGCGGATGGAGATTAAAATATTTTCATTTACCATTTACTTAAATATGCCTTATTTCAGTATTTGTCTATCATTAAAGTAGGGAAATGAATTTTAGAATGTCGAATTTTTTGAAAAATGTGCGATAAAATAAAATTGGGTTGAGTAATGCTATTCATAGTCGCTCACTACAGCAGTCGCCATATGTGGCACACACATAATATGTAGTTATTTGATACATTAATGTGATAGTTTTTTGACCACATTAATGCATTAAATACACACTTGAAATGTGTGTGCCATATAGGACGACTGCTGCAGTGAGCGACTGCAAATAGCATTATTCAATTGGGTTTACGTGCAAAATATTTTATTATGAAAACGTGTTGTTGAAAATGAGTTTAAAAAAAAAACAAAAATTGAAATAATGATAAACAAATAGGGACAACTTACAATATGCAACGTCAAGACCACGACTGAAAGACGGTTTTTAACTAGACTGAATCTTAAGATGTGGTGACTCTTTTTTTTTTTTATTCACACAGGGTTCGTGGCAGGGCAGATTTTGCCATTCCTAAAATAGGGATACTTGCAATGTACAATTGTAGATTACCAACCAACTACTTTCAAAATTCTCACACAAGAATTTCAACGCAGTGAATAAAAAGCAGAAAGGTTTCTTTATTTTCTTTCTCTCGAGCTCTCGAGGAAAAATTCAAAGATCGTTATCAATACAAACTCTTTGATAACCAACAGAGAGCTCCTTAACAAGTAAAATTTTCTTCAATAATCAGCCTCAAATAGAAATGGTAGTACAAAGTTCTGTAGTTGGCTCAATGGCTCAACACCTCCCATTTTGAAGTTGAAACTGCCCACTAACACCTTCAGGTGGAGAGACGTGTGCAAATTCTTTCATGGATAAAACAAAAGAATAAACAGCTTTGCTTCCTTGCATGAATCGTTGTGCTTCCAACCCACATTTTGTCTTCGTATGCAACTAATTATATTTCTGATCTAAAGGGTATATGGTATCGAAAACAACTCTCGCAAATACATGCCGGACTTCCTTTACACTTCCCAAAGCTAACAACTCGTAGTCAATCTTACTTCCCTGTTTTGATACAAATTCCTTTTCTTTTCCCCCTCGAACGCATTCAAAAATCTTGCACACCCTCAAATAGAGTGCTAATGATATAAATACCTATAGATGTCAAAGAAAAGGATGAGGCTCTACTCAATGGAAAATGTTAGAAGACCAACAGACTGAAATGAAGAAAGCACATGTCAAATTGATGCAACAGCCAGGGATGACATTTTAACTATATTTTTTTCTTTTTTGTGTTAAATGTCGATCAAGAAACTTTTGTGGATGCTATAAAAAGCTTGTAAACTAAGAGCCTATATGGCAGGTGATGGAGAATTAGAAAGCATACTATTATATTTAGCCCTTGTTTGATCCACATTATTTTTTTTATTCTCATTTTTCTACTTATTTTCAATCACACATCCTTCAATAAAATAATATTTTCTATCACGTCAATAACTTTTCATTCTTTTTTAACCACATATTCATCATCACATCACTTCAAAAAAATACATTCTCCCATTTTAATGTGCACCAAACGGGCTGTTAATTTTCAATTTTAATGCATATTTTAGGAAACATTAATAGGTTTGATTTATTACCTTTTATAGTATTTTCTTACTTAGAATATGCTCTTTTGAAACCCTATATAAAGGGGTCTTGAATATAATTGACAACCATATATAATAAAATAATTAATATTCTCCCCTAATTTCTCTCTTCCTCTCTCCACCTTCTTCTATCTTTTCCTCTCCTTTCTCTTCTTTTCTTCCCTTTCGCTTCCCCTATAATTATCAGATTACATTGGAAAAAGCCAAAAGCTGCTTCAAAAGAAGCTTTCGGGAATGTTTGGATAATTTTCGGAAATGCTTTGTCGAGTTAAAAGAGCTTTTAGAGGAAGCTAGCCCAAGAAGGCTTCCTTGAAAACTCTTCTACAGAGAGCACAATCTATCCCAAACAAGCCATAAGAAATTAACAAAGAAAGACAGATCTCGATAAGAGGAAAAGGGAGGGGAAATGATTACCAGATCGGAACATGGTGCTTTGGGATATTCAACCATTGCCCGGGAGACAAAATACTCATCCGTCATATTAGTCAGTGCACCTTGAACTGAAGCTGCCAAATGCTTAACCTTATCCCGTAGTGTGCCAGAATCAAGAGATTGAGGTTCCAATATTTCATGAAAGCTCATGTTATGTTGTTTGGAGATTCGTCTTGCTATACTCAAAGCTTCTGACAAGTCTCCACCATTGTAAACAGCAAGGCTAAATGCAGCAATCACTAAAGGATCTCTCGGTTGATCCACTAGTGCCTTATGGAATGCTAAGATTGCAACCCTGGATAGAAGACTCTGGATTATTTTGTAAGACATTTCACACATCCAATATACAGATGAAAAACGCAAGAATAAAAAAAGTCTCAGATGAGAATTACCATAAGCTACTATGACATGGCATGTCCGGTGCTAGAAGTTTATCCAGGTTGGAGAATAAAGACTGCAAAATCAAGCAATTATGTTTCTAGTCTAGAACTTACCAAACCTCCCACATCAAAACAAAATCACATGAATTTAAATATATAGTTCTATATAGTATGTCCCTGTTTGGGTTTGCAATAGATTTTTAGTAGATTTGGATAAAAGTTGATGAAATGTGTAGTTGCAAGTTAATAAATCCCATGAAATGTGTAGTTAAAATTAATTATTAACTTTAACTTGGATTTTTATCACTTTTTAGCTAAACCAAACTGGGGCTGTAAATTATATGGTATATTATACATTTAAGTGCTATATACTTCATGGTTGGCAAAGCTTATAATTGCTTTTGAGCTAATCAAACTCCCTTTTTTCCACACATTCCATATGACCCACAACTTTTACCTTCCTTTATTCACTTATTATCCACACATTTCGTAAAATCCATAACTTATAATCTAATAAAAGCTTTCCCAAACATGATTATAATCACTTCATAATAAAGCACAGAACAAATATCCAATTGTATCATATAAATCATTTCAGAAGACTCTGTATTAAACATTGAAACAATTACCAAAAGCATGTTATACCGCTTGTCACGTCTCCGAAAGCCATATCGAACAAAATATGCAGCCTGCAAAGGAAAAGCTATTTCGTACTTAAAATGAAACTTGAATTATAGACATGAAAAATTCAAGCCCTACTGCATGCAAGATGAATCTCTGATTCTCGTTAAAATAGTATGTATCAAGCTCATTAAAATGCAACCAAAATTGAATTGTACCTGAATTGGTAGAAGTATTTCCAAGAGACCAATTCTCCATAATAATCTCAATGAAGTTTCTGCAGAACCATATGCCATCATGTAATTCATTTCCATGAGAAGCCTCCCCTAAAGCATGGTTAACCATAAAAAAAACAATCGTCACAAATAGAGAGAGAGAGAGAGCGAGAGAGAGAATCCTTCCAAATACCCTATCAAGCCGAAGAACTGAAGAGGATAGCCTTTTCACCGCAAGCCCTGTCTCTTTTGCAAAGCGAAAATCCAAACGGGCAGCAATTCTAACTGCACGAAG